CTGACGAGGGGTTGTCTGTGTGCGTGTCCGTGTGTCCGTGTATCTGTGTGTCCGTGCGTGCGCCTGTCACGGTTTTTCAACTCAAGACCTACAAAAGCTACAGGACTGAAACTTTGGGAGGTTAACCTACATGCATGTACGGGCCCCATCTCCAAAGTGGGTGCTCTTACCCGCGTGGTACCCACGTATGGGCCCGCTAAAGTTTTTTACAGGTAAGCTGCTAACTCGGGACCAGGAATGTTGGGAGGCTAAAATTTTAAGGGGACGTTCCCCGTCCAAATGAGTATTAATGAGCTTAAAACCAGCCCCCGGGTAAGCGTGGTACCCACGTGCGAACCCGCTAAAATTTTTTTCGGGTAAGTTGCTAACTCGGGAATCTGAGAAGCTAGAAAACTGGAATTTTAACAGTCTTGACAGCCAGTCTGAAATTCTTTTAGCTAGAAGCATCTGCCGGAAAAACCAGTGCCGTTAACGGCAAAAATATGCGGGGAGCTATGCAAAAAACGCATCTTCGCACGGGCAGCCCATGCGTTGGCCAATTATGTTATTGTTGTTAACATTATTATTATTATTGCCTTTATTTGTCATCATTATTTTTATTATTATTGTTGTTATCATCATTATCATTGCTGATGTCATTTTCACTATTGCCATTGTTATTTTATTGCTATTATTATCACTGCTGCTATCGTTATTAGTGTTACGTCGGTAATAAACCAAATATTGACTCACTGCAAGAACTGTTTCTTCTTTCCACTTCCCTACCTTCCTCTAAATTTCACTCTTTTCCCTTTTTCAGAAGTATAATAATGATTGCTCAAATTTCATGGCAAACGCAAGTAACAGTTTATCATCGATACAGGTTAGTGGATTGTGCACGAGTTGGTTTATAATCCACTAATCCATGGAGCCAATAAACGGTGAAGCCGAATAATGAACTTTGGCTTGTGAACAGCTTTAGTTTCAATGCACCAAACCCAATAACCGTATGAACTGCCTAACCTACCAAATAGGTTGTAAATTCCAACAAAAATTTTGCCTGCATTACTGGTTATATTGATTCAAACTCCAACCTTTTTCTGGATGATCTTTTTCTTCGCTTCTGAACAGCTGTACAGTGATAAATTGGCAAGCGCAAGTGCTGCATGCCGAAGAGTTATCGGTGTATCGGTAGCTCGTTTACACGTTAGCAAAATATGATCCAAAACACCATATTCGATCAGCCTGAACAGCACTCAGCTGTAGTTTGATAAGGTCTCATTTGTGTAGATTTGCGGACATACGTGAACAAAGCAAGTGTATGTTTATGCATGCAGATGTATACGAGAGGGTAAGGAGTGTCTATGCGTAATGTTCACATATCAGAATGCGTGAGTCTCGCACCTGCACACGCACTGCGTGAGTGAATTCGGACAGATTAACGCGAGCTATCTTTTCTTCGTGTATATAGCTTGACGATAAAACACGGGCAGATTTTCAGGCCGTTAAGTATGCAAAGTCCGATTTCGAATTGAAAGTTTGGTTTGTTAAAAAAGAAGCAGTGCCGCCTAACTATCGACACAGTTCTGCCATCTTAAGGTAACACTTTCACGCCGCTAACGAAAAAGCCTGAGTGACACGAGGCAATGAAATCGCGAAAGGCCCTTTTAACG